CCCAGCCCTCCCGCAGAACAGAAAAAATCAAAATTTAAAAAAAAAAAAAAATATCACCTGCACCCAGCAGAGATAATAAAGGGAAAGTTTGCTGTACCCCCACTAGGTGGTCAGTCCTCTGACAAGGCACCTTCTGCTTCCCGTGGGATACTGGAGTAAAATACCAGTTCTGATATTGTCAGAGAACTAGACCCTTCCCAGCAGCTGCAGCGGGCGGGCCTGGTGGATCGTCCTTATCGGAACCAGTGGGGAGTGTGTGACTCTGGGAACTGGAGATTAGGGAGGTGTGTTCCCGCTGGTCTCAGGCTCTGCTGGCTGAAGCTGGCGTGGGGAGGGGTATTTTGAACAGAGACCGTGAGCTGGACCTGCTGTCTCCTTCCACGCTCTGCGGGGGCAGGGAGATCAAACTGGAGTGTGTCCCTGCTCAGTGTGAAACGATGTTTTGACCAGGGTTTTTCTTAATTAATCGGGCGATTCTGGAAGTGAAATACTGAAATCCCAACCATCTGTACTAAAAAGAAAGGAAAGCTTGGAAATAGGAGTGGATGCCAAGGGAGGCTTAGCTGCAGTGTTGCAGTGGTAGCAGCCCCCTCGTCCCTCCCCGGTGACCGTATGGTTCCGTTGCCAGGACACTGGCCTGGGGCGCGAGGTGCCAGCTGCCGCTTTCCACACCCCCAGTGAAGAGCGTGGACGTGAGGCTGGTGTCTGCCACCGTCCCGCTGGCTGTACGGGGCTGAATCCCACTGACTAAACGGTTTCCTGGAAATGCCGTACCCGGTTTGATGGAGGTGAACGTGAGACAGAAGCGCGCAGAGACTCCCACTGACTTTGTTTAGTACGGTCCCTTGTCTGGGGTTGGCCCGAGTCATCCTCTGGCACCGCCTGTCCTGGCCGACGGGACGGGCTACCTTGGACCAGACCTTCACCTGGCTGAAGGCAACGGTGCAGGCGTACTGGGAAAGGCCAGGCTTGGAATCCTGAGCTCCCTCATCCTGTGCCAGTACTGCCGCGGGATCAGGCCTCTTGTGATCACCGCTCCTGTGTGGGACAGTGAGGCTAGAAGTGGGGAGCGACCCCTGCAAGGCCAGAGGGGGCGGGAACGGAGCAGCAGTCTGGTGAGAGAGGGCATGGGGCGGTGGGAGCCTGGACGAGGTGGAGGGGTAGGAAACATGCTGCAGGCAGAGGAGAGAGAAGAGGCAGAAGCCTTAAGCAGGGCTGGTGTCCTGCTCGGATCCTCTGGTGTCTGGCATGGAAGGTTTCCGAGTTCCTCTACGCCTCAGCTGCCAGTGTAGGAAATCCCCCTGCGGAGCATCTCCCCGCTGGCTCTCGCAGCCTGGTGATGCTCAGCTGGAAGAACGTGTGCAGTAGGTGCGGAAGCTCCTGCTCCACTGAGACGCCTCTCGGGGCATCGGTGTTCTGCCAGCAGGCCAGAGGCCTGGTGTCCAGGAACAGAACCGTGTTAGAAGTCACGGAGGTGAAGAGATCTTGGCTTCCATCCCTAGAAGCTGTCGCTGTGCCTTCAGCCCCTCTTTCTGCTGCACGAGCAACCCCAGATCCATCGTTTCTGAGGCCTTGGGCGGGTGTTGGGTTTTAGACCTTTCATCTTCTCCGGACCTGGCCGTAGGTTTGGGTGGTGCTGCTTGACTGCCCGTGGGTGTGGGTGGCGGATTCACGAGGAGGCCCGTTTAAAACGAAGTCGGCTGATTTGGTAAAGAGCACGGAATACTCCCCGGCACGGCTTGGGATGGCAGGTGCTGTCCTAAACCTGCAAACGAAGGGCCAGAGCGGCAGCCATCGGTGACGGGCGTCGGTTGTCCTCTGCGGTCGCTCCCGACAGCCCCAGGTTTCCAGCGCTGCCTGTGCTGTTCCGGGGGGGTGGCCATGCTCTGGTCCAGGCTGCATGGCATCCCCCGAGCCCCGTCCCGTACTGAGGGTTCGTTTCTTTTGTCCTTAAGCGCTAGTCAAGACACTGAAATCCGGAGGAGAACCGTCGGTGAAAATCCACGCCTCTCGCCGCACAAAGAGGAGCCGGTGAAGTCGGAGAACTCGGAAGAGGATGAGGAGAACGTGATGACAACCTGGAAGCCATTTCTGGTGAACGTGTGCATGTTCACGTTCCTGACGGCAGGAGCTTATCTCTGTTACAGGGTGTGTTTCCACTGACCCACGTGCCAGCAAGCTCGACCCTGCAGCCAACGCCAGCGCCGCGGTGGGTTTGTAGGGGAGGCAGCTGGTGGTGGCACGGGAGCCCTGCCTCAGGGGAGGCAGGTCTTAGGTTGAAAGGCCAGAACTCTGGTTAGGGCTTACCGAGAGAATTGATGCACTAGGGTTTTATCGAGCCCTGTGGTCCCAAGAACATAATATTCTAATCTCAGGGCCTTAAAATATTCAGGAGTAAGCAGAGAAAATGCCAAATAGTCTGTTTTCCTTTTTCTCTCTTTTTTTTTTTTTTATTTTTAAACTAAATAATGGAATTACAACACATTGTTGTTTTTAGCCTTTTTTAAAAAGCCAGTTCTTTTTTTCTTTTGTTTTTCAGAAAAACTAGGGACAAGTGAAACTTGCTTGTACTCTCCAAGTGTTGTAACCAAATACATGACTTACATCGATGAGTTTCCAAAAAAAGCAAAAGAAACCCACGTACCTGGAGAATGTAGATGTCTGGGAGGGGGAGGGGTGTTTGTGGTTGGGTTTTTGGTTTGGTTTTGGGTTTTTTTTTTTTTAACTTGCTTCACCATTAAAGACTGAGTTGTGGGCAGTGCCTGTGGTATCGACATATTTAATCTTGGCATAACTCTTGTTGAAGAGCTTCCTGTTCCACGTGTGTGTAAAGAAACGGGCTTCTGCGTTTGCTCAGGGTATCCCAACATGTCAGGCTCTTTTTTCCTTATTTTTTTTTAAATAAGTGTATCTCCTCATGACCTTTGTTGCACTCGACTTGCACATACGCCTGCTTACATTGCACCATCCTTCGGAATGCTGGCTTTGCTTTTACGGTCTGGGTTACGAGAGGTTGAGGGGAGAGGGAAACCGGCAGGGAAGTTCAACCGGAACACGTCCCCCTGGCAGTCGGCATTCGGACGGACCAGTTGGTCAACCTCAGCATTTGGAATGTAACATGCAGTTTCGCTCGACGTCTGCTCCGTAAGGAACAGCCCGCTTCCCGCAGGGGCCGGAGGGGTGATGTGCTCAGAGGCGCTGCCGGCCCTGTCCAGGAGAGCAGCTCGGTGATCCTGGGTGAGGAGTGCAGTGGCAGCTTCCTCCAGACACGGTTGGACAGAAGATCCCCTGGTCTCTGAACTGGCGGTTGGCTCACGGTGCAAACCTTTGTGTTCTGCTTTTTTTTTTCACGCAAAGATTTCAAATACTGGCTTTAGTTTGGCTCAACGATGCGCCCTTCGGCGATTATGGGGCGCGGCGGTGCGAGCAGGTACGTCTCGCACCCTGCGGACTGGGTTGTGGCTGTCCCAAGGCGAGTGAGGCCTCGCTCTGTCTGCCGCAAGCTCCGGCCTCGAGGGTTGTAAAGTGCTTGTAAATAAGGATTCGGGTGCATCGGGAGAGCTGTGGCTGGACGTCAGCACCGCACCGCGCACTCAGTGCTCTTCTCGGCACCGCGCGGTGAGCAGCGTCAGCCGCGAGCGCGGAGGTGTCCTTGCTTGTGTCCCCGGGGCGGAGGGTAGGAGTAAACTCGCTGCAGAAAGCGGCAGTGATTGCAACTACACCCCGCCAGCTGGTTACCAACAGTGTTCCTGCTCAGTCCTTTCATTTCTAACGGCTTCCCAGATGTACAGCACCCCGCTCCCAGTGCAAACGTCGCGGCGGAGGATCTTACCTACGGTGCTCTCCGCTCCACTTACTCCTGCAAAGCTGCCTGAGGGTGTAGCTCCTGTCCTTCCGTGAGTTGGTGAACTGGGGGGGGGCGGGGTGGGAGTTATTTCTCTTCCGTGTTTCGTTAAGCTTGCATCAAGGGCTTTTCAGAATTAGAGTAACAAGTCCTCAGGTAGTACTGGGAATCGATACTTCACCTGTGAGACTGTTGGTCAGCCCGGTACTTGAAAGGAGGAATGTTGTAATCGGTCAATATTTAGTTATATTATTGGAAACATGACAAATGAGTATAGAAAAATGGTAATATATAATGGCTCATCGGTGTATTTAAGATGCAGTACGTGATTGCTTCGTCCCCACTCTTCTCCATCACCTGGTAGAATATTGTTCCACGGCAGCGTTTGTACCCCCTTTGTATTAAAATGCATGTAGAGTCTCCTGGTGTCCCGATGAAATACCATGTGCTTGAAAGGTGACAGAACTTGTATTCCTGCTTCCTGATGTGCCCAAATTATATTTGCATGAGCTGATCCTTACGTGGCTGTGGTTCAGAGGGTGTTGCTGGAAGCTCTTCCTTCGGCGACAGACCGACGTGGTGTTTCTCAGAGAACGTGTACTTGGCATGACTTGCTGTTGAGTTTCCGCGCGCGGTGTCAGCCGGCGGCTCGGCGTGGGTCGCCGCCGCTGGGTTGGTGTAGTACAGACATTCCAGGGGGCTGGGAGAGTCCTACGCACACCTCGCTTCCGGTCACGAGGCAAGCAGGAGCTCGGCTGTTGCTGGGGGGCTGCTGTGCTGCCCCCAGGGCCGCACGGGGCGGGGAGAGGAAAGGCGCTGGTGGTGCTGGGATCTGCAGCACGAGAGGGTTTGCCTCACAGCAAAACACCCCTCTGCTCTTCCCACGAGGGACTGTCAGTTCTCCGCTTGACAGGAAAGCGGAGCATCCGTCCTTCAAACCGGAGTAACCGCGCTCTGCCTGCGCACCCTTCTAACGGGAGGGCCGCTGCCGCTGGCACGAGTTCCGAGTGTCCCCTTCCTGTCCACGCTCCTGCTGCTTCTTCCCTCTGCTCCAACCGCAGAACGTCCGCTCTCGGGCCGTCCTGGCGAGGTGTGCGTAGGGCTTCTCACCCTGACCCGTGAACACTTCCGTTCTGGTGTCCTGTGTCTGTGTGTAGTAGCTCGGGTGTGTGTACAGTAGCGTTTCGAAGTGGGTGTATCGGCAAACCTGTCCTTGGAAAAGGGACAGCTATCCATGTTAAACTCTTAGAACGTTAGTGAGCTGCTCTGCTATATGCCTTAAGCAAATATTTACTCATCAGGTCTTTCTTTTTTACAGATTGCCATAGAATAAACTTTTTTAAAAAAAATCTTTCCAAAAAAAAAAGTCCAAAAAAGCGGAATGTTTTGGTATAACCCATTTTCAGGTATCTTGTCTTTTGTGTAAGTCGCTGCGAGGACCTCACCGGTCGCAGTAAAACTGTACAGTTTTTCAACTTCCCATACAAGTTTTCAGTTCTCATTTTAGTTGTAACAATAAAATTCCTTTTTTAAAGAAAGTGCACGAGTGGCAGTGGTTCCTCCCGGGTGCGAGCGGCTGGCTCCGGCGTCAGCCACCTGCCGCCCTGGACCAGCGGCGTCAGCCACGTGCTGACCGGTGGCACATGGAGGAGAGGCTTTAATGTTACCGTAGGAATACGCTTGGGGAAGAACCAGGGACATGTGTCTCCTGCGTCGCTCCCTGACGCCTCCATCTCCCTCCTCCAGCCTCTCGCTTCAGTCCAACGCCAGCGCTTCCCAGGCCGGGGAATCGCCGTAATCTGAAAGGTAGAAACTCTCGGCTGTGCCAGACCGCGGGGCCCTGCCCCGAGGGAGCCTTGGGTAGGGACAGGGCCACGGACCTGCTCGCGTGGCCGCAGCCGTCGGCTCCCTGCACTCTGGGTTACAGCGCTCAGCGCCCCGCTGGCGTGCGTAAGGACAGCTGCAGCGG